GCATGTACTTTTTTAATACTTTGATTTAGATATTAGGTTTAACCATTTTAGTTATATTTTTTATTATTGTGAAGTATAAAATAATAACCATAACAGAATATTTAGTTTTTTGTTATTTAGTTCTTCCCTTTTGCTAATTAGTATATTATATCTATAAATCTTTTACCCTGGCCTTAGTGCATGAATTTACAAAAGTGAGAAGATAGTTAATTAATACAATTGTATACTATAGGTTGACAACTCTTCATTAACTGGGGAATCAGAGCCTCAATCAAGAAATATTGAATGTACTTCTGACAATCCGATTGAGACAAAAAATCTTGGTTTTTTTTCTACTAATGTGGTTGAAGGTGATGGAGTTGGGATTGTTGTTAAAATTGGCATGAAAACAGTTATGGGTCGCATAGCAAATCTTGCATCAGGATTAGAAGCTGGAAAAACACCTATTGCTGCTGAGATTGAACATTTTGTTCATATTATTGCATTTGTCCCGACAACTGTTGGATTAATTTTTTTTATTGTTTGTATGAGTCTTGGTTATAATTGGTTACAGTCTGTTATCTACGTTGTTGGGATAATTGTATCAAATGTGCCAGAGGGTCTACTTCCTACTGTTACTGTAAGTGACCCTCTTTCTTAGAAAGTGCCTCAATTACAGGGTTATTCATTCTTATATACGCGTCTATTCATTTTTATATGCGCCTTTATTCATTCTTATATGCGCATTTATTCATTTTTATATGCGCCTTTATTCATTCTTATATGCGCATTTATTCATTTTTATATGCGCCTTTATTCTTTTTTATATGCGCATTTATTCATTTTTATATGCGCCTTTATTCATTCTTATATGCGCATTTATTCATTCTTATATGCGCATTTGTTCATTTTTATGTGGTTTACAAAAGCAATTGTAAAAAAGCAATTTGAACCAAAAAAATCATTTAATAAAATCATTGAAAAAACAGTTTATTATTTCAAAGCAAATTTTTCTTATTTCCTGGTAAACGAGGTTAAAAATACTTATAAAACGAAGACTTTTTACATTCGACGATAATTTATTTAATTTAGTATTAGTTCTTTGTTTTCGATGATAGTTTATTTAATTTATTATTAGTTCTTTGTAAATTTATTATTATATTTCTTGATTGATTAAGTTATTATTTATCTAATTATTCATTTATCTAGATTTAAATTTAATTGTTTATAATTATTATAAATATCAAATTATACACCCCTATGGATGGAATAAAAAATAGCAGTACCAATCGTAAAACAAGGGAAAAAGTTACAAAAGAGCACATTGAAATGCTTAAGCATTTAATTGAGAGAAATCAATCTACAACAAGCATTTCCACTTCTCTTAACTTATCGAAGCACGCACTTCAAAATTTTGTCATTAAGTTAAACAGAGGATAATTCGACGACATGACTGCATTCAAGTCGTTTTCTGATAAAAAACGAGATAAACGACCTATAAACTCTCAAATAAAAAATATTATCGAATTATACGTACAAGAAAACAATCTTTGCACGCAAGAAGCAATAAAAAAATATCATTCTGCAGCAAGCTTTAACATTTTCTCAGTCTACTATTTCTAGAAAACTCAAACGCTCATAGAAAACGACTTGAATGCAGTCATATCGTCGAATTATCCTCTGTTTAACTTAACAACAAAACTTTGAAGTGCGCGCTTCGATAAGTTAAGAGAAGTGGAAATGCTTGTTGTAGACTGATTTCTCTCAATTAAATGCTTAAGCATTTTAATGTGCTCTTTTGTAACTTTTTCCCTTGTTTTACAATTGGTACTGCTATTTTTTATTCCATCCGTAGGGGTGTATAATTTGATATTTATAATAATTATAAACAATTAAATTTAAATCTAGATAAATGAATAATTAGATAAATAATAACTTAATCAATCAAGAAATATAATAATAAATTTACAAAGAACTAATAATAAATTAAATAAACTATCATCGAAAACAAAGAACTAATACTAAATTAAATAAACCATCGTCGAATGTAAAAAGTCTTTGTTTTAAGTATTTAACCTCGTTTACCTGGAAATAAGAATAATTTGTTTTGAAAAAATAAACTGTTTTTTCAAAACAAATTTGCTTAAATGATATTTTTTTGGTTCAAATTGCTTTTTTACAATTGCTTCTGTAAAACGCATATAAGAATGAATAAAGGCGCATATAAAAATGAATAAATGTGCATATAAAAATGAATAAACGCACATATAAGAATGAATAAAGGCGCATATAAAAATGAATAGACGCGCATATAAAAATGAATAACCCTGTAAGAATAAACATTGTTTAGTTTTTATCATTATTGTTTGTGTTTTCAGGTTTGCCTAACCTTAACAGCAAAAAAAATGGCTAAAAAAAATTGTTTAGTTAAAAACTTACAAGCTGTTGAAACACTTGGAAGTACTTCAGTTATTTGTTCAGATAAAACTGGGACATTAACACAAAACCGAATGACAGTGGCGCATATCTGGTTTGATTTGCATGCTGTTGAAATAAATACAACAGAAAATCAATCTCCTTTTAATGAACAACAAAACTCACCAACATGGGAAGCACTTGCAAGAATTGGTGCATTATGTAGTAGAGCTGATTTTAAAAGTGGTCAAGAAAATGTTCCAATAATGAGGTTGTTATACATTTTTCTTAAAAGTTTGAGTCTATTTTCTTTTTCTTTTTTTTTGTATATATGTGTTTATTTGAATATATATTTACATTTATATTTGCATGCATGTACTTACACATTTTACAATTATGATAATAAATATTATCTTATATGTTTAAGTTGTGGAGATAAGTTAATGTTTGTAAGATAAGGGTTTGCTAACATAAGTATTTATACACAGTGAAATTGTTTAAATTTTAAATGTTTTTTTTATGTTTGAAAAAAATCTTCTTTTCATTTTTGGAACAAAAATTATACAAATTATAATATTATATAGCAGGGAGTCCCAAAAAGGACTCTAGATTTGAAAGTCACAAAAAGATTACTTCACCCTAGATTTTGGCATCCAAGAGCTCTAAAAATATCAATAAGTTTATGGACTACTAATAGGAAAAAAATTAAAAATTTTAGGTTAGAGAAACAATCATTTTTTGAACCCAAAGTCCTAAGGTATAATGGCAGCATGGGCTCCGGGACTCCAGGACTCTGGGCTTAAAAACAATAAGTTTTAAGTCATTAAATCTCACGAATTTTTTTCTTATTGAAGATCATAAGTCAACAAACATGTTTAGAGCTTCTGGACACTACAGACTTGGAAAAAGTAGAGATATAAAGCCGGAGTCTTTTTGAGACTCTGCATCCCTGTTATATAGATAACCAGTGGTGGGCACAGTTAAGGCAAAATTAAACTTTGCTAACAGATCTGATGCTAGTTATAAAATTAACTCCATTAAAGTTTAATCATTAAATTAAAAAAATGCTTTTTGCGCTAACAGCTAATTGTTTATCCCTAATTACTAGTGAAATAATAATTTTTGAATCTTGTTGTATTAATTCACATATTTACACAAAAGATAAATTTTTATATATACTTAGTTTATCTACATTGAGGATTCTCATTTCTTTAATAAATATTGAGGAATGAGAAAACTGATCTGCAAAATTAATTAGGCAGATTGTATGTTTATGACAGCAATAAAGAGATTGTAACTTGTTTATATTTGTGGGATCCCAGGCATTCTTTCAGTAATTTAAATAACATTAAGCCTTAATGTTTCCCTCTAGCAACATTAAGGCTTATTATTTCTTTTAAGATCTTTTAGTAAACATATTTATTATTATTATTATTGTTATTATTATTATTATTATTATTATTATTATTATTATTGTTATTATTATTATTATTATTATTATTATTATTGTTATTAATATTATAGTCTTTTCTACAATAGAAGTTTTACTTCTATGAGCCAAGTGTCTAACAAAACCCGACTATAGTAGACACAGTTGTCACTTAAGGTTTTGGTAATAATATCCATTACTTCAAGAAGATTTGTGACGCACAATCTAGATTTGACAAAACCCTGTTGACAAGATAATAGATTATACTTTACTAGGTATTCAGTCATGACATCACACATTATTTTCTCCATCAATTTTCCAATTGCTGAGGTGAGGGAAATAGGCCTGTAATTTCCAGGATCAGTACGCTGACCCTTTTTTAATATTGGCATTATATTAGCAAGTTTCCACCCAGACGGTACTTGTCTAGAATCAAACGACTTGATAAATTAGAGAGAGAGATGGATTCCATTACCAGTGCCTTTTGAAGAGTCAAGAGCAGATAAAAGTGTTTCAAAATTGCAACAATTGAACAAGGAACTAGAAACTGGTGAGCAAACAATCTTGGTTCTTCGAGGAAAATCAGGAGCTTGGGAGTGAGTTTTGGATCAAGTTTTTAAATATTAAAAGACTTAAAGATTAAAGATTGTATTTGGAAATGTGATGCTCAACCAGTAAAATGTAAGTGGATAAGTTTGGCCAATTGATTGGTTTTAGGCCCTCACTAATTCCATTATAGTCATTTATAGGCGTTCTTTGCGCTCGATCCATCAGTTTGTGCCATTTTGTACAGACCAATATATATATATATATATATATATATATATATATATATATATATATATATATATATATATATATATATATATATATATATATATATATATATATATATGTATATATATATATATATATATATATATATATATATATATATATATATATATATATATATATATATATATATATATATATATATATATATATATATATATATATATATATATATATATATATATATATATATATAAATTAGTAGAAAATCACTTAGCCAAATTTTTTGGAAAATCGGCAGTTTTTTTGCAAAAATAACAATGTTTGCCGAAAAAAAAATAAAAAAAAAAAAGTTCTCAAATTTTAACTTGGGCAGTGCCCAAATATAGTACTTATATTATGTTATAGAGATTGCTAATTTTAACTTATTTGTTGAGTGTATTAAATCTGAGTTGTTTGCGTTAACTTTTATAAATGTAAAACAAGTCTTAAAGTATGTTCACAGGATGGTTAAAGCTATACAGTTTAACCATGATCAAGTTTCTGTTTAGCTTTCAACTTCTCATTATTCATTTTGACATTTTTTAAAAAACTATTTTTTTATAAATTTTAATTTTTTCTTTTGTATAACTTGTAAAAATTTTAATTTACTTTAATTATATGTTTGCAGATTTTTCACATTATTATTGTATTTTATATTGTTTTGTTTATTACCCTAATAAATTATAACAACAAATTTTAAACATTTAATTTTATTTGAGGATATCTAGTTTTAATTAAAACATTTATTTTGCATTAATAAAATGATTTTAACAATTAACAACTTTGACTTAGTTTGATTGCTATGTGACTAGCAAATTTGATTGGCTAGCAAAGTACTAATAGAAAAAAGTAATAATGCTTACTTTGTTCAAAAGAACAAAGCATGTTTTATAAATACACTATTTTTTTTTCAAAACATTTAAATTACATTGTTTCACTTTTTGTTTTGTCAATGAGAACTTTGGCTCATTTGTTAAAGTACATTTTATTTTTTTTGTTATGTTTGCAAAATATAGTTAATTACAAGGTAGCTAATTTTTTTAAAGATTTTTTGGTTTATTTAATTTTTTTGTTTAAAAAAAAATCACTTCACAAAAAATTATGTTGCAGAAATTCTTCAATTTAAGCAGGAAAATTGTTGAAGTCTTTTGAAATTTTAGCACCAGTTGAGTAAGCACTTTCAGCTTGAAGAAGAGTTTTAATTAGAGAGAGAAAGGTTAAATTGTTACGGTCAAGCATTATTTCATTACTGTAAAAATATGTTTTAGTTTGAAAAACCTAAATCCCAGTAACAAACTATTTTTTTTCTTATATAATAAAGTTTCTAATATATATAGTTTCATTAAATGACAAATATGAGTTATGGCCATTTATAAAGTATTAATTTTTTCAAAATTTTTGGATCCAAGTTACTGGTTGCTGATATTTGCAATTTATAATGTTGATATAGATACATCAACATGCTGATGGCAATATTGTTAAGTCTGAATTTAAGAAGATAGGTAAGAAATGCATAAAATGTGAAACAGTATTGTTATATAATTCTGAAAATAGTATTTTATTAGTAAAAGTAGTCTCTACTACTAAGCTGACCAATCTCCTTCTTTTTACATAAGAGAGTGCAGCCCTAAAAATAATTAAAATTTAGATTCTCCTACAAAAACAGAAGAACTTACTACTAAATTCATGAATACTAATGGTTGTTTTAATACAAAAATATTAAAAATGTTTGAAGGCAGAAGAAAAACTAAAAGAGATTGAAGTTGTTGTCAATGAACCAATTGCAAAGCTGGAAAAACCAATTTTTTTTAAATTATCAAATTTATCAGTTTTTATAATTTAATAAAAAATATTCAGTGCTCTTTTGTGCAAAATTATCAGCCAAAGAGGTAAAACTTTATTTCATAGACTTAACAAATTTACGTAGTTCTGATTTGTAAAACAAGTTGTTGTCAGGAAAAGCATTCGGTTATAAAATTATATATAAAATAACTTCAACTTTTCTATATTTAAAAAAAGAAATGACATAATAGAAATTTGTTTAAACCACACGTGTGGAATCATCTGCATTAAGATTGAATGCAGATTATTCCACACTGAATCTTATGTTTAATCTTAAAAGTTAGGTTCAATAGACTTTTGAATACTGAATCTCATGTTTAATCTTAAAAGTTCAAAAGACTTTTGGAAAGTGTTGACTAAAAATGCTTTAATACTCTTGCTCTACTGCTGATTTTTAAAATGTGACCTTTTTTAGCTATCAAGTTTGATCTTCTATTTCATTTTTATTAAAATGCATTTTTTTTTTTCAACAACTACTACCATACCACAAGAAAGTTCTCTTGTTCCACCAACCAAAACACGATATTGTGAGGAGGTCTTGCAAAAAATTAGGATGGTGGAGGTCTGGGAAAAATGCCCTAAAACATTTACCGCCCTGCCCAAATGTGAGGGCACTAATGCAGTAAAATTTTCAACTTTACTATCTTAAACTAAATTTAAATTATTGACAGATTTTAAATTTCATACAAAAATATTGTAAATTACAAGTTATGACTTTGCAAAATTTATAACCCCCTCGTTTTAGGGGTCAAAAAGTTTGTCTGGTAGTAAACTTATGTAATTTACAATATTTTTAAATTTAAAATATAAAATCTGCATATATATTGTTTGTGACAATATAAGACAAGCATGGTTTGTCATGATTCTAGAACAAATTTATTTATGTATTAATATACATATATATTATAAGAAGAATGCATCTTCTTAAAAAATATATGTTAGTAATATATTATAATATTTAAATTTTTGTTTTTTGTTTTGTAATAAGAAAAATTGAATAAAACAAAAATAACCTTTTTTCTGGTCAACCATTTATTTTGGAGCATTGGACTTTTGGTCGGTCACCAGAGGGGCAACTGAAAGAAACCATTTAGTTAATGTTGGTTGTCTGCCGATGTTTTGAGTTGCCTGTCGCTACTTTTTATAAAAACTTTTGCATTTAGCAGAGCTCTCGCATATTCTAATCATTTTTCCTTAGCTAAGAAATAATTTGCTTAAATAAAAGTATTTGTAAACTATTGATAACATTCACTTTTCAATTTTCAGATAAAGCACATGCCAATATATACATCCTTAGGTTAGTGAACAACATTTTAAAACTATATCAAAGTATTAATTTTATATAAACCAATTGACAATATATCTCTTTGCTTTCAACTTTCTCCCTTTCACGTTAACAATGGCAAATTAATAGTGATTATAACATAGTTATTTTCTTATTTTAGACTGAAAGTTTAAAAGACTGAAGCTGAAAGTTGATTTTAAAATGTTTTAAAACAATCTTGAATGTGACAGTTTTAAATGTGTTATCTAAGTTTGAGTATTTTTGGAAAACTTTAAAAATTAAAAAACATAAAAACAATAATTATAGAAGATTTGAAATAATCTTCAGTATACTTACAAAATCTTTTTATGTACAAACTTATATTTATACTTTATTATGTACAAACATATATTTGCACTGGGTAATTAGTCAGTTTCATTGTTTTACTATAAATTTGTCGTTTAACTTTAATATATTTATATCTGTAGAAAAGATTGTACAGGTGATGCATCAGAGGTAGCCATTTTAAAGTTTATTGAAAATACTGTTGGAGATGTTATGAGCATACGCTCAAAAAATAAAAAACTTGCAGAGGTTCCTTTTAACTCAGCTACTAAGTTTCAGGTGTCTGTTCATAAGTTAGAAAATGCAAATTCTTCTCCTGATGCATCAATATATATTGCTGTTATGAAAGGTGCACCTGAAAGAATCTTGGAAAGATGCGCGTATGCTTTAATTGATGGAAAAGTACAACCAATCAATGAAGAATTTATTGAAACATTTAACAAAGCTTATGCCACTCTTGGTATGTTAATGCTTTTAATTTTATTTTTTAATATTTTATGATTTAATATATTTGTTTTAAGTTTGTTAATTTTTTTTTTAAACAAATTAAAAATAGATAGATCAGAGAAGAAATCAAAGATATTAAATAATCAGAATAATAATAGGATTTTTGAGTCAGATTTATAATTTTGATAAATCCTTCTTGGAGATTTTAACAAATACATCAAACAATCAAACAACTGAACAAACAGAATAGCTGATTTATGTTTGATATTTGTTTTAAATTTAAATTTTCATAATTTAATGCAGACACCTTACATAAGCTTTTGAGGAACTTTTGAGGAATTTTGTTCAACAGAATTGTCTGCTGCAATTTTGCGCTTTTAGATTATAGAAATTTATTTTACACATTCTTTTATTTTGGAGTTCATGTTATTGTTCATGAAAAACTGCTTTTAATGTTTACATCATACATTGATTGCACTTTTGTTTTTCTGGAAATTTTTCTTGCAGCAGTTTTTGAATGCATTTATAGCAAACGTTGAAGACTGAGAATGCAATCAAAAATAACAAGACTGGTACTTTTCTTTTGAGCTTTATACTTTGTTGCTAGCAAATTAATTATGGCATAGTGATTTTTAAGCAACTTGTCCAAAATGATTTTCTCAGCAAATTTTTGCTGAGATTTACTTGCAAGTACATTTTCTATGTTTACAATTAAGTGTTTTAAAACTAGCATTTGTTATTTAAAAGAATGACATATTTGTTTTAAAACAATAAGTTATATAAACAGATAACTGGCTCAGATTTTTATTTCAATTTTATCAAGATTGTGGTTTAACCCAGACTACAAGTTCATGTAATTGAGATCTGGACTATTGGCAGGCCAAGACATGGTTTTAAATTTGTTTTCTTCAAATAATTGCTTACAAATCTTAGCAGAATGTAGCATTATCTTGTGGGAAGATTCCCTTGTCTTTTTGGAAATGTCAATAAAAGCATCAAATAACTATCTACTATGTCTAAATATCTCAGAGAATCAAGCCTTCCATGAAATATTTTGAAATGATTGACACCATCATAGTTTATGCAGGCCTAGATGTCTATACTACCACTATCATGTTTTGTTCTATTCGTAGCGCAATTTAGGTCCATTTAGTAATGTGGCTTTCTTTTCAGCATTACTTGGTTTTTTCTTAAATCAACTTCAACATTTATTTCATCTCTGAAAAGATCGTTGTACCACATGCTCATAGACCAAATTTTATGAACTAAACACCAGTTTTTTTCTTGTTTTCTAATGTTTTATCAATAGACTGGGCTTTTTTGCCACATGTAATTGTGTTTTTGTAGTACTCTTCTAATTGTTTGAGCACTAGCAACAACACCAGAAGCTTTTTGTCCTTGTCAACTGTGATCAGTAGATGATAGACTTCTATTTTTTTTCACTATGCAAATAAGTGAACCTTCATTTCTTTTATTTGAAATACTGAGTCTTCCAAGATATAGAAGATTTTGAATTGTATTGTATCTTTAATATTGGCTGATTATTCTGCTAAAAGCGGCATGTGTTTTGTTAAAATGTTTTTCAATTTCTCTCATCAAGATGATTTGTTCATTCATTACAATGATTTTACATTTTATTATATTATTAATAATTTTTCCAGTCAATTTAATTATTTTATTGCTGAAATATTGTAGCTAATTAGACGCTGATTTTTCTACTTCATTTTATGCTAACTTTTCAAATATTGGTAACAATATAAATAAAAATTCTCAAATAATTATAAATAGTTTGCAAATAAGTGCAGAGTTTTAATCAAAAATAAATAAAATTTTGAAGGAGGTTTGAAATAATACAGTGAATTGTTAATTTTGGCCATAATTACTATTTTAGATTATGAGATATGTGTAAAAAAAAAGCAATGCAACTAGCACATTGAATAATATTTTTATGAATATCTATATTTATTTGAAAGAAAATAGAATGCTTATCAATATACATTTTTTATATTTATAAAAAATCAAACAATCATTGATTTCATATCAATCAAAGTCCAATGATATTAAAAAAAAAAAAGCTGGATTGTTATTTATGACCAATACTATATATATATATATATATATATATATATATATATATATATATATATATATATATATATATATATATATATATATATATATATATATATATATATATATATATATATATATATATATATATATATATATATATATATATATATATATATATATATATATATATATATATATATATATATATATATATATATATATATATATATATATATATATATATATATATGTGTGTGTGTGTGTGTCTGTATATACTTATATATACGTACATATATATATATATATATATTTATATATATATATATGTATATATGTATATATGTATATATGTATATATATATATATATATATATATATATATATATATATATATATATATATATATATATATATATATATATATATGTATATATGTATATATGTATATATGTATATATATATATATATATATATGTATATATGTATATATATATATGTATATATGTATATATATATATATATATATATATATATATATATATATATATATATATATATATATATATATATATATTTATATATATATATATATATATATATGTATGTATATATATTGGAGTGTATATAGTATATATAAATATATATTGGAGTGTACCGTCAACTGGGGTTACTTTGATAGGTTTTTTGATTTTTTTAAAGTGCTGATAGAATTTTAATGAATTGCTGTTGTTTTTGGTTTGAATATACCAAATGATCTATCCTTAACAGGAAAAAATGCTTTTTAGAAATATCAGAACTTGTCTTGTATTTGTTTTTAAAGTCCAAACATTTATCGATGTAACCCTTCATGTCTTACTTTGATAGTAAATGTTATTTTAATAAAATATCAAGTTAACCCCATAACAGGGTTTCATTGATAGTTTTTTAGGCTTATAAAAAAGATTTATAGACCTAGTACACCTGATACTATCCAAAAAATTACAAAATTGGTTGAAAAAATGTCAAAAATTATCAACTTTTATCAAACTTAAAATTATAAATTATCAAAAGTTCTTGATTTTAGTCGATGACTTGGTGAAACAGGTATGGGAACCGATATTGATCCCTTGTTTTTCTCGGTCTGAAATTCTTTCAACCATAGCATAATAGAACAGCTTCATCCATATCATCTTTGCTTTCTGTAAATTTACTTGCCTGTGTTTGTTTGTCCAGTTTATTGAATCCACAATGATCTTTTAGCATTTTCTGAACAACCGTACCAAAGATTTCTTTAACCTTTTCTCCACCAACTTCTCAGTTCTCATTTGGCAGTCTTTTCAAGACTTCATCTCTGTTTAGTGGAGATATTTCGCAAGCCAAAAAGCCAGAAATCAGGTTTTGCTCTTTTAGTCTTTGATGCAACTTCAACAATAACCCAGGAAAATGTGTCTTTGGTATTGTACCTTTGATGCGACTTTCTTTTTGCCAACATTCCAGGATTCTTTTCCATTCTTTCTTCATGGATCTAAAAACTCTGACATTCAGTGGTTGAAGGAGATAACTTGCATTTGGTACCAAACAGGTAAAACGAATGTTGTTCAATGGGCGGCCTCAATGACTGGAAGAGAAAAATGAGAGGGAAGATTGTCACCAATGATGGCTTTTAGTCCATGATTTTTACTAATGTTAGAAAGAAATATTTCTAGAAACTAGCATTTGAAGGTTCTTGAATTGAACCAGCCTGACTTTGTTGTCATAGCAAGTTCCTTCTGGGCCACCTCTGGTCCATTCTTGATAAACTTTTTGAGACTTATATACTACCATAGGTGGTAGAAATACTCCAATAGCAATTCCACAATACATGATGCTTACACAACTCTTTGAGTGTTGCATTTTACGTTCTACTCTTTTAAGTCCTCGTCTGCATATGACCAATTTTGCGCCAGGGTCATCCGAAAGATTAGTCTCGTCATAGTCATAAATGTTACAGAGTTCAATGCCTTCTAATGTCTTCGCTAATTCATTATGCTTATTTTTTTATCGCTAATTCATTATGCTTATTGTTTTATCAAACGCTTATGGCGTTTGATAAAACTTAGCATCTAATCAATCCCTGGTAAATTGTTGTTAAACTGTATGTTCTTAACACCAGATAATGTTTGACCATTAAACAAATATCTAATCTATCAACAGGCATTTTCAAATCACAAAGAACGTTTATTGCCTTCAAAAGGTGATTCTCGCAATTAGAATAAAGTGCATTGGATGTCCTACTTTTTTTCCATGTTTACCTTTCATTCTGTTGTGCAATGGAATTTTAAACTTTTTAGATGCTTTTAGCAAACTCATAGTACCCTTCCGGCAACATTTAAGGGCCGCTGACAACTGAGTTTTTGAATGTGAGCGATAAGCATGACTCCCATTCTTCCTCTTGTAGGTCCTCATTTTACGGATAGGTAGGTATGTACCTGTAGGCATATAAAAAAATATGTTTTTATAGTATTTTATTACTGTTTAGAATACCTTTTTTACACTTTTTTACAAAAAAGTTACAAAAAACTTTAATATGTTTTAACAATTTTAATATTTTTTTTACCTTTCAAATCAATTAAGTGAAATCTTTGTAAACTTTTGATTAGTGTTTATTTATTTTTAACCTAAAAATAGAAAAGATAATAAAATAGTATTAAAAATATATTACAATAATGAATTACTGAAAAAGTAATTCTAAAAATATTATCAATGTTACCACGGGTATCAAAGTAACCCCAGTTGACGGTATATGTTATATATAAATATTTATGAGTGCATATATATATATATATACATATATATATATATATATATATATATATATATATATATATATATATATATATATATATAAATAAAGAGAGAGAGAGAGAGACACTCAGATAAGACTTAAAAAAATGTTTGTACACCTTTAATATTTTAAGGTGGTTTTGGTGAGCGCGTATTAGGTTTTTGTCATTGCTATCTTCCTCAAGATCAATATCCTGATGGTTTTGCATTTGATTCTGAGGAAACTAACTTTCAACTTGATAAATATTGTTTTGTGGGATTGATGAGTATGTTAGATCCCCCCAGACCTTCTGTGCCAGATGCTGTTAGTAGATGTAGAAGTGCTGGTAAGTAATATAAATTTAAAGTAATATATATATTTTTTTGTTTAAATTAAATCAAGTTTAAACTTACTTTAAGTTTAATAAGGTCTTAAAAGTTTAAAAAAAATTAAAAAAATCCCATGATTCAACCTCTAAAATAGGTATCAAAGTCATCATGGTAACCGGTGACCATCCTATTACAGCAAAAGCTATAGCTAGAAGTGTTGGAATTATATCTGAAGGAACTGAGACTATTGAAGACATAGCACAAAGGTTAAATATACCAATTGAACAAGTCCAAAAAAATCATGCAAAAGCATGTGTAGTAAGTGGAAGTAGGTGTCATTTTTTGTGATGACTTAATTTTTTATTTTGTGAGTGGTGAATTGTAATGAATGATACAATCTCATTAATTATATTGTTGTGGCTAGCGCAACAGTACTGTTGCTTTATTTTTTTATTTTAAAGTCACGGTAGTAAAGTTTGATTAGTTTATTTTAAGTCACAGCTGTGAATATTATTGGTTGATTTTGAAAGTTTTATTTGTAGAAATTTAAAAAAAATTGCAATTCTACATTGTACGTTTAGAATTGTAGTATCTCAATGGTTCAACTGCTACCGTGATTAAGATTAAGTCATTCACTAAAAAAAATGTTATTAAATGTTTTTTTAACTATTTTTTATTGAAAGTTATTATCATAGCTGTATATTCAAAGTTATTTTGATTTTTATTATTTACATACATTTACTGATATGGGGATAGATGCAGTGAGTGTACATACTTTGTACACTCACTGCGTTTATCCCCATATCTATTGATTTAGGGATAGGTGCAGTGAGTGTGCATACATTAAATGATTTAGGGATAGGCGCAGTGGAGCGCACATACATTGATTAAGGATTTTGATTTGGGCATGCTTTCTTTAGATAAAATTAAAAAAAATCAACCAATCAGAAATCAATACCGTGACTTTAAGAAAAAAATTAAAACAATGGTACTGTTACGCAAGCACTAGCATAATTATATATGTGTATATAAATATACATATATATATATATATATATATATATATATATATATATATATATATATATATATATATATATATATATATATATATATATATATATATATATATATATATATATATATACATATACATATACATATATATATATAATTATGCAAATTTATACATATATTATATATATATATATATATATATATATATATATATATATATATATATATATATATATATATATATATATATATATATAATTATATTTATATATATATATATTATATTTTAATATATATATCTATATATATATATATCTATATATATATCTATATATATATATATATATATATATATATATATATATATATATATATAGTTTTCTAGAAATCAAAGAGTAAGTATCAATCTTTATTATTGCATTTTAACTCTGAAAATCAAGTTAGTTTTCACTTTAATGGTGTTGTGTTGGTCTATGGTCCAGGTAGATTTCTTTTAAAAAACACAAAGAAATTTGCTGACCAGGAATAAATAAAAACCTATAAAAATGTTGTTTGTTCACACTATTAGTTGTTGTTATTCTTATTTTTAAAATAGCACCAGGTTTGTTCCATTTTACACCAGTTTCTTTAAATATTTTTGTTTTAAATATTTTTTCGCAAGTCTACTTGATGTAGTGGAAGAAGAGTCACATTCATAAGAATTTTGATTTAACAAAAATAATGTTTTAATGCTTTCCATTAACTTAAAAAATCCTAATAATGCTATTTTTGAAATTATATATATAGAATGTATTGATGCATTTAGACAAAAGAACATAAAATCATTCATTAGATCTAACAATCTTACTTTTTACACTTGTAAAAAGTACATAAGGCCACAATCTTACTTTTTACACTTGTCTCATCGTAAAGAAACAGGGTTATCTACTATCAGACATCCAAATCACTTCCATTGCTAAAATTATTTTTCAATTGAATTTCACCACAGTCTATGGTTTGGATAGCATACCTGTCACAGTCTTTTAAAAGTGTTCTACACAAGTTTTTCATTACTCTCTAAACTAACTATCAAATAGTTAACTGAGTTAACTCAGTTAACCATTTATCAAATGGTTAACTGAGTCTTGTTTTCCTTCCTGCTAGAAAATGACATCTGTTTGAATTTTGAAAGTTGTGGAAATTGCAACAACAATTTCTGATCTTATTATTTTTATCAAAGTCTTTTAATTAGCAAAATTTAAAATTTCATTTTGAGTCTAAAAATTTACTTTAACAATTATATTATGACAACTAATACAGATTTTAATCTTTTGTTCTATTGCTGAACTGTAAATCTTTATAAAAAAAGGTTAAAAAAAAGCAGTGAGGCAAAAGCTCTTGATATATCAAGGCTTTCGATAAAGTCTGTCATGCTGGTCTTTTTCATCAGCTTACTTTGTACAGTTATACTTACATATTTATCATAGCAATTATTTGTCATAGCAACTTGTCTACAGTTATGCTACCAATAATAAATTTTTAAATAGAATTATTAAATTATTTATTTTTTTTATTAAAGATTTAGATTTTATTAAAAAAAGCTTTATTAAATTATTTATTTTTTTATTAATGTATGAAAGTTTTTTTTTACTCAATGAAGTTATCAAAAATTTATAAAAGTGAAATTTATTGACCATCAAAGAATTAAACAAGGGATTTAACACCATAATTAAGATATCTTTTAAGAAAAATAAAGTTTAAACATAATTAACTTAATTTTTTTAGAACTTGGACAAGTTTAAAAAAAAAAAAAAACTACATAAATTTACAAGAAGCGACGATGAAAGGTTGGTTGTCCAAACTAGTGTCAAGATTGTATAACAAACCAAAGAAGTTCTCTGACAATATTAAGACTAGCATTTGTCTGTGAACCAGAATAATAAAAAGTTTTAAAAGAATGTTATAATTATAATGCAGTTTTTTTATTTGAATATAAGACAATTATTGAAATTCTTGTAAACCACATTATCATATATCATACATATATTCTGAAAAATAATTTCATGGATATTTACAAATAGTAATTCTACTAATATCAAGTAGAATTATATTATATCAAGTATGTGTATGTATTAGTAATTCTACTAATATATACACATACTTACCCACATGCATAGATACACACATATTTGCACATAAATACACTTGCGTGCGTACATGTACTCACATAGCTATGTATACATACACATATAGATACATACATATACAGCTTTAAAAATATATACATTTTTAAAAATGTCAAACTAACATAGAATTAAAAACATTTAAATTAAAAATCATAGAATACAAACAACGCACTAAATTATATAACAAAATGAATTATACTCTACAATGCCCAATTAACAATACACAAGAATACAAAAACAAAAAACAATAACAAAAAAGACAAACGTCCCTCAAAATTAATAAAATCTAAAAAATATTTTTTTAATTTTCTTCAAAAGCAGAACAATTTTTATATTTTATTTTAATTGCTTTTGATTACTTTTTATTTTTGAATGTTTTTTTCTTTTAACTTTGGATTTTTGTCTTTTCTCATTTCTTTTTATGTTTTTTTTTTTTTTTTTTGTTAGTTTGTTTGATTTGGTTTTTTTTGCTTTTTTATTCCCTTCCTTTTCTTTTCTTCACTCTCTTTATATTTATTTTTCTTATTTTGTTATTTTTTCTTTGTCTTTCTTTTTCTTTTTATTTTTTGTCTTTTTATTTTTATTTTTTTTCTTTAATTTATTTATAAAATCGTTATAAAAAAGCGTCTGCCATTGTGGAAGTCTCTACACTGGTGACACATTCTTGTAACTCTTCTAACCACACATATGGTTTAAAACTGTGGACAATAAACCTAAAATTAAAGAAAAAGGAAGAAAAGGCTGCTTATTTAGATTAGTTTAATAACAAACCAGTTACCAGTTATTGTTTTTTTTGCAATCAAATAGAAGCAACAGTCATGTTCATTTCTTCCACAATAAATTGCATATAGATATAGAAGTTTAATTACCTAGGGCCACCTTGTACCTATGGCCATCTCACTTTATTTGAAAACTATGAAATTCAAAGTAATGCTTCTCTGTGAGATAATTAGTTATAATATTTATTTTTTAATTCTAGTATCTTAGATTGTTTTACAATCCTAGAGAGAATACTTTTCTATAAGTTTTTGTATATTATATTGTTTTTATTAGTATAAATGCAATGTTCAATAAGTTTCCTCTTAGTCGAGGTTCCTTAATAAATGAAATTTTTCAAGAGACACTATCATTTCTTGTACCTTAGGCCATTTAATTTGCTTGTACCTAGGGCCATGCGTGAGTAAAGAATTTGCTTGATGAAAATATATTCTTTTTTTCTTGCCGTTGTTTTGTGACTACCATTTTACACATAGACTTATTTGTCAATTTTGCTCAGAACTATTAGTCAATTTTGTTATTTATTTGAGTATTGCAATTAAGTAACACTAGATGAATTTGTTGAAAGCAATCTAAGATTAAATAAATTTTTGATCAAATTTATTGTCAATTTATTATGGAATTAAACGTAATTTTTAGAGAGTAGCCTAGGTACATTAGCTAATGGCCCTAGGTGCAATTGAAAAAAGCTTATTGTACCTAGGGCCACTAATTTTTAAACCCTTCTACACTCAGTGAAATTTACATAGTTCCATGTAGTTATTGTAGACTTTACCTGGAAGTTGTATTATTAATTAATGACAAAAGTTGTGTTTATTAGACCTATTGCAAGCAAATCATCCGGAGTACCAACAACAAGACAAATAAGGACTGAACTGGAATTAGCTGTCTCCACAAGATGTGTCCATCAAGTTTTGTCAAAACCAGGATAGTTTCAGTGGAAAAAAATGATCACAAAACCATCATTGACTAAAAAACAGAAAAGTGAAAGATTTGAGTTTGCTAAGGACACATGACGTGGGACGCATAATGAGAAAATGTTATTTTTACCAATAAAAAAAAGTTTAACTTAGATGGACCTGATGGTTTTAAGTATTATTGGCATGATTTGAAAAAAAAAAGATAGCATTGCTATGAATTGTAACTTAGGAGGATGGACAGTTGTGGTGTTAGCTGCATTTTATTTCCATGGCAAAGTTCCAGTATATTTTTTTGCAACAAAATGCAAGAAATTACAAAGATCTTCTATAGGATGTTTTAATTGAGTATAGTGAAGGTTTACCTACCGAGAATCGAATTTTTCAACAAGGTAATGCAGCAATTTCCACGTTATGATGTGTAAAACAGTGGTTACAGAAAAAAAGTATACATGTTTTGAATGGCCATCCCTTTTACATGACTTGAATCCTATTGAAAATTTATGGGTAATGTTGGGACAAACTATATATGGAAATTTAAAACTTCTATCCAACAAGCTTGAAGCTGTATTTTAAAGGTTTGTTTGTAAAATCTTATAAAAAATATGGAAAACCCAATCTTTGAACTAATAAGTGTAAAACGTGGAAGTACACATTATTAAAAAAGTATTTAAAAAATTATTATTTTAAACAAAAATTATAAAGGTTTACTTTTGATGGAACTATAAAAATTTTGCGTGTTTTTTAACTTTAAAAAATATTTCTGACTTATAGTTTTTTATGAAAAAAATTAGTTTTTGTTTTTTATTAAAATATTATTTGCATATTTATTCCTAATAATATTTACTGTATATATATATATATATATATATATATATATATATATATATATATATATATATATATATATATATATATATATATATATATATAATTTATAATTTATAATTTGTTTCACTTTTAATATTCAGCAGTGAAACATTAGTTTGAATGTAATTTTATAATGCACAAAATTATTTGTGCTTCATGTTATTTTTTATTGATCAAAATATAAATGATGTACAAGTTATGTAATAAAAGTTGTGTATTCTGATTTTTAAATGTCTTAGGTCAGTTAAAAGACATGAGTCAAAAAGATCTTGATGATGTTTTGAAAAATCATACTGAGATTGTTTTTGCTCGCACATCACCTCAGCAAAAACTGATCATTGTAGAAGGTTGTCAACGTCAAGGTGCAATTGTAGCTGTTACTGGTGATGGTGTAAATGATTCACCGGCCTTAAAGAAGGCTGACATTGGTATATTTTAAATTATTATGAGTAGAGTCCAATAAAAAAATTATAAGAAATAAAAATTCAGTTTGCATTTCAATAATATCAAGTACATACCATTTTGAAATTTTTACAAAAAAACAACAACTAATTATAATTAAAATCTTGCTTTACTTCATAATCCATGCAGTAGTGGTGCAGTGGTAGAGCGCTCGCTTCATAAGTGAGTACCAGAGATGTGGTGGGGATGGAACTCAGAACTTCTTGCTTATGAGGCAAAAGCTTAACCACTATACCACTACTGCGCTTTTAAAATTGAAATAAAGAATAATAAATAATTAAACCAGTCAATTTTTTCTGCCCAATTGATACTTGCTGAGTCAACTGTGACTAGTAAACAACCGGATTTTTAGCCAGGATTGGGGCCCCAGTCCTGGCTAAAAATGAGACTTTTTGCAAATCCAGCCCTGGCAAAATTGTAAGATTTAGCAGGAGTTGATATCCGGGACTAGAAATAAATTTATAATTTTTTATATATTATAGTTTTATATATTATAGTTTTATATATTTTTGCCATTATTTGATAAATAGGGACAGGTACAGTAAAATAATGCAGCTTGTTGAATAAGAAGCCAAGCAAGAATGAGTTTTGGTTTATTGTAATAGGAATGATAGCTCGTTTGAGCATTGACCATTATTAGAGTAAAAACATGAAAGTTAAAGGCTAAAGCCTGCTGCTGCTGATGATAATGATGATGATAATCATGATGATGATCATGATGATTATGATGATGATCATGATAATGACAATGACGATGATGATAATGATGATGGCAATGATGATGATGATAATAATGATAATGATGATGACAATTATGATGATGATGATCATGATGATGATGATGCTGATGCTGATGATGATCATGTTGATCATAATGATGTATTTAAACGCATATATATTCAAAATTAAACCTAAATTTTGAAAAAAAAAGTACTTTAGGATGTATAAATGTTTATGCAGCCCCAGTCACAAATCCGGTCCCGGCTATATTTTATCGAACCCAACCCTGGTCAAATAACAACCCCGGTTGTTATTTAACTGTGACAGAAGATTTTAAGACTAGCAAGACTGAAATGTATATTTGCATTGGATTAAAAAAAGCATTTGACCGTTACAATTTTTATAACTTAAAGGACACATAATAAATTTATCAGAATATATAAGTTTTTGGAAAAATATTAATTTGCGTTGATATATGCCATGTTTGAAAATCTGAAAAAGTATGAATTACAAAAGAAATAAAAATAAATATTAAATAAATACAAAGTGAAAATAAACCACATCAAAAATTCATGATTATCTTTTTTAAAACAAATGTTAATTAAATTTAATGTTTTAAATTATTTAAATAAAGTTATTAATGATATTATTTAAGGATTTAATAATTTCAAAAACTTGGTGCACCATATGAAGAGAGCTTATGGTGAAAGACTAGCATTCCAGAGTTTATCGAAAGCTTTTGATATGTCAAGAACCTTTTGCCTCATGGCTTTAATTTAAAGATAAAAGAACCTTTTTGTTATAATGGTGAACAAGTCACCAATCAAAATGAGAGAATTGAAATCTGTATTGATTACAAGAATCAATTGTCAGGCTCAAGATAAGATGTCAGAAGCTTGTTAGTTGAAAGGCTTAAAGACCTTAGTAATAAAGATTTTTATTATTCTTTATTTTATTATTTTATTAGTCTTTAAAATTGGGTAATAGAGGGTCAGAATTTTGAAAAATCACTAGAAACTTACTTCTGAGATAATATACAAAGTCTAATAATTTAAGAATAATTAAGTCTTCACTTTAATAAGATATTGAATTTAACCAGTATTAATATATTGAATTTAACCCCTAATAATATATCTTTAGTTTTTAATAAATTCAATTACATTTTTTTTTCCATTTAAAATTATATTTAACAACATGTTTTTGATTTTTAAGAATTAATCTAATGCTGGAATTATTAACATTTATAATATAAAACACAATTTTTAAGAATTAATGCGGGGGTATTGATCACTAAAAATAAATAAGATTGACAACGTTATAAAGATATGAATATTTTTAGATTTAAAATTTAAAATAGATAAGGTTCTATAAAATAGATAAGGTATATTATAAAGATTTGAATATGAAATTTTGAGTTTAAAATTTTTTTTATAATCTTATTTATGTTTTATTTAAAAAAAAAAAAAAATTTTTTTATTTTTAACTTTTAAAGAAACAAATTTGGCTAAAATGCAGTAGGTAAATTGCTATTCTGTAAAGTGTAGTTGGTAAAAAGGTATACCAATTATAACTACTACTTAATTACTTTTTTAAGGTATTGCAATGGGTATAGCAGGATCCGATGTATCTAAGCAAGCTGCTGATATGATTCTGCTAGATGATAATTTTTCTTCCATTGTAACTGGTGTTGAAGAAGGACGTTTGATATTTGATAATTTAAAGAAGACAATTGTGTACATGCTAACCTGTAACATAGCTGAATTAACACCCTTTGTTTTTTTTATTATATTAAATATTCCACTGCCTCTCGGAAATATTCCAATGTTATTAATCTCTATTGGTACTGACATTGCACCAGCCATTGCATTAGCTTATGAACCATCAGAAAATGATATCATGGAAAGAAAACCTCGAGATCCTAAGCGTGATAACCTTGTCAATGCTCGTCTTATATGTCAATCTTACGCTGTCAGAGGTGTAATTGAGGTATTTTTGTTTTTTTTATAAACTACTTTTTTATTTGCTTATAAAGCATTTTATTTATTTCATTAGTTTTATATTAATTAAATTAGTATATATTTAATTTTAATATTATTTGTAACTAATTCAATTACTTTAATATGCATATACAACTACTTTACTTTTACTTAAGTAATTAAAAAATCAAAGTTAACATGTGATATCAACATGCTGTTAATTAATCATTGGCATTTGAGGCTTCTCATAGGAAAAGGTACCAAGTGCGGCAGTGGTGTAGTGGTTGAGCGCTCGCTTCATAAGCGAGAGGTTCCAAGTTCAATCCCCACCACGTCCCTGGTAGTACCACGCTCAACTTGTTTCTCCGTGCAGTGGTCTTGTTCGTCAAGGTTTGTGTTTCAGAGTCATAGAGTCGATAGAGGGTTATAACCACAAATAAGTAGCCTCCTTGACTGTAGTGGTCTTCTTGGCCTTGAGGAGGTGAATTGACAAAAAAAAAAAAAGTATTCTAAAGAATTTTCTGTACATAATTATAGAGAAAATATTTTACTAAATCGAGTTGCAAATTATTGGAATGGAATAATAATTTCACAGCATAAATTAATGCTAATACTAATATCAATATATATATATATATATATATATATATATATATATATATATATATATATATATATATATATATATATATATATATATATAAAAATATATATATATATATATATATATATATATATATATGTATATATATATATATATATATATATATATATATATATATATATATATATATATATATATATATATATATATATATATATACATACATACATATATATATATGTATATATATATACATATATATACATACATCTTATACTGCTGAGTTAGGTGAGCATGATGATGTCATACTCACCTAATGTCAAATAGCCTGCTGCCGGGGGCTTCAGTACATACATCGACTGACAAATAGCCTGACTCGCAGTGGAGAGCTGCTACATCGACTGAGGGTTTGGTATGGGTCAGCAACCTTTTCATTCATTATTTTTCGTTTTCCCTCATCGTTTTCTAAAAACGCTCACTTAATTTAGGCTAGCAAAAAAAGTGAGCAATTGCACATATAAATATGCTATAGTAGATATATATATATATTTATATATATATATATATATATATATATATATATATATATATATATATATATATATATATATATATATTTATATATTGTTGTTTTATTGTACCAAATTAAGATACAAAAGTCTCTTGTTCGTTTGAGAGTGATCAATATAATGTAAGTGTTTACAAAATAAATCAATAATAATAATAATAATAATAATAATAATAATAGAGTTTGATTATTTGAAAAAATACAACTTTGTGATGGGACTTGGAGTTTCATGCCCTTCGGCAATCATCAGCCATATTTTATATGGCTGAATCAAACTCTATTATTATTATTATTATTATTATATATTTATATATATATTTATATATATATATTTATATATATATATATTTTTTTTTTTTTTATTTATACATATTTAAATTTATTATTTTATTATAAAAATATATTTTTATATTAATTTTTGTTATTTTTATTTATTTATTTTATATTATATTTCATTTTTAACTACTTCTATTTACAAAAATGATTAATTACAATAATATAAGCAAATTTAAACCTTGTCGTAATCCTAACCCTAAGCCTGACCTTGATGCCTGGCCTAACCAAACCCTTAATCGATGTAGCAGCACTCCCTTGCGAGTCAGGCTATTTGATAGTCGATGTATCTACTTTTTGTTCTCTATAAAAGTTTTATGTTTTATCTTGCAATTTCTAAAAGTTCATTTGATATAACTGTATAATGTTCCACCCAGCCCAAAATGAGAGCAGTATAAACTTTACATAGTTTTTATTTTCAAACTTTGTTTTTGAACTTGCTTAAAACTTTTTGTACTTTTTTATATTATACATTTCTGTAGGCTTTTATGTTAATATCACGGTTATTTTTATTGAATTTTAAGTTAAAAAAAAATTTGTTGAAAGGTCTGATATGCCTGTGTGTGTACATACATGTGTGTTTGTGTGTGAGTACATACATACGTGTTTGTGTGTGTATGTGTGTATGTGAACCTTTTTTGGTTATAATTAAAAAAAAAATTTTAATTTTTTACTTTTAGTCTGTTGGCGCTTTTTTGTGTTACTTTATTGTTCTGGGTCAAAATGGATTTTGGCCTTTAGATTTAATAGGAATTAGAAAATCATGGGATGATAATACTAATAATAATCTTCCAGATTCTTATGGGAGTGAATGGACTTATTACCAAAGGAAAGAGTTAGAATTAACAGTCCATACAGCTTTTTTCACTACTATTGTTGTTTGTCAATGGGGTGATCTTATTGCCAGTAAAACTCGTCGGTTGTCTCTATTTCAGCATGGAATGAAGTAAAATATAAAATATAAAAACTTATTAAATATATTTACTTTTTTTTAGAGCAGATAAATCAAATATACATATATTGTTTTATTTTTTGTAGAAACTGGGTTATATTCTTTGCAATATTTTTTGAGACAACTTTAACTTGTTTTGCTCAGTATACACCTGGGTTAAATACTGCTTTGACCTTGCGTCCAATTAGATTTGTTTATTGGCTGCCTGGTCTACCGTATGCTTTATTCTTATTTGTTTTTGACGAGATACGGAAATATTTTATTTCCCACTATCCAGGAGGTAAGATTTTGTAATATAAATCTTTTAACTAGAATTTTAGTATTTATTTTAATTTTAGTAAGATATTGTCTTACTGTGTATATATTCTGCTTACTTTATCTTTTGAAATGACAACTTTAATCAAACATTTTTAAAGAAGAAAAGAAAAGTAATTCTAAATTATATACTGAAATATTTGCAGAGACTTTTGTGTAAATAGTGGACATGCATTTGAATATTTTTAATACTATTTTACTAATTTAGAGTCCCCTACTATCAATAATATTAGTTATTTGTAAAAATAAAAACAATTAATACAGCTGTTATTATGTACACTCCTTGCATCTCCTTGCATATTTAAAAAAGTGTGTACACTTCCTGCATCTACATATTTATAACAGTGTGTACACTCTCTGCATCTTCTTCATATTTATATCAATGTGTACACTCTCTGCATCTTCTACATATTTATATCAGTGTGTACACTCCCTGCATCTTCTACATATTTATATCAGTGTACATGTGTACACTCTACTGTGCTAATCCCTAAATAATACAGTTGATAAAACAAAAATGAAAAAATAAAAATAAAAAAAAAATATTTATTATATATTTAAATATTTAAAAATTTAAAATATTCTGAATTAAAAAACAAAAACATTCTTGTTTATAAAGTTGCGTTCTGTGCTTTTTCAAAAAACAATAAAATTGAATTAGTTTCCTTTGTTATTTTAATAGTTCGTACTTAAAGTACTCCTAATTTTGTCAACTTTAAACACAAAAGCATATTAAATGCCGTTTTTTACCATAAATGATAAAGATTTTTGCCATAAGTATATAAATATTATAAAGTAAAATATATTGTAAATTCTATTTGGAGAATTGGTTGAATAATATATTTTAATGTTTTTTTTATGATTTTAGCTATAACTATTACGTTGAGGTAAAAAACAAAGTTTGAGTTTACTGAGTTTTTTTTTTTTTTTTTTTTTTTTTTTTTTTTGATAATTATCTTTGATAAAGTTTAAATCATTTAACTGCAATAGTTCAGTAGTATTAATATAGAACACAAAACACTAAGAAACACATTAAGGAAGAACCAGCTTTCCTACTATTTTATACAAATTGTTTTCTTTAAGTCTTTAGTGAAGCAATACCATTTATCAACAATTTAAAACCAATGCTCTCAGTTAACCCTTATTTAATTGAAATTTATTTCAATAAATTTGTTGAAGTTTGTTAGCTTTGTTGATTGCATATAATTTGTTTAATAAAATGCACCAAAAACAGCAGATTTTTTTACAAATAAAATGTAAATGTAAATAAATATCATTGTGTGTTCAAGTACTTTGAAAACATAAAAGTTTAATAACTTTTGCAGAAATAGCATCAGAGAGTGTATTTCCCATAATAAATTTTTTTTATTTTTTTGAGTTATGATGAATGAAAGTATAAGTAATGGAAAACGAAAATCATTTTTAATTATTTGTTGATAACTTTTGTTAACAACAGTTTCATTTTTCTTCATAAGTTATACCTGCATAAAAATAAAATGAATCTTAGCAAATTCTTGTTTTGTATTTTCTAATCACAATTTCTGATTAGCGAGACACCTCTGCTGTCCTCTCTAGGCAAACAGGTTTCATGAAAAAATCAATTTTATTCGCAATTATACTTTCCTGTTCCAAATCTTCACCTGCGGACATTTTCTATAGTAACTTTCTCAAAACAGTAATAGAAACTGTAGTGAATCCTCATGCTTTTATCATATTCTTTTGAAGTGTAGATATAGTTCATCATTGGTGGCTTCTCACAAGCTGTAAAAAAGAGTTGTGATTCACAAATCTTTCTCACAGCCTTTTTAATAATTTAACAGAATTTTATAATTTAACAGAATTTTTTTGGTTTGCTCTAAATAATACTAATCAATTAGTTTCAAAACAAAGTTCAAGAAAAGAGGCAACCAAATATTTTTCAATCTTGTTTAAATTAAAACCTTTAAATTAAGCTTATAGCAATCTTATAATTTTTAATAAATTAATGTTTTCTGTGCCATCCTTTCCCAGATATTTTTTAATAAATTAATGTTTTCTGTGCCATCCTTTCCCAGATATTTTAACAAATTATTTAAAGATCCTGATCAGTCGATTTAATAACTGCTTTATTAAATACTGTGTTGAATTCTACACAGAATTCTTTTATTAATTTTTTTTAACACTTTTTAGGTTTTTTTGAAAGGGAAACGGCTTATTAGGTATCAAAACATATGGAATTTTTAGCTTGTTCGAGATAGTGAACCACAATTCTACATAGTGGTGAATCATATTCCTTCATAGGATTGAAGCATCATATTTATGCTAACATAAAGCGTCGTTATTATTATATTAACTTGAAGATTAATGTATTTATGTAAGTTCTAAACGCCATTAATTTTATGTTAACTGTTGTATTCAACCATAAAGTCGAAAACGTTGTAAATTTAGCGATAAATTATTATTTTTAATATTAACTTTTTGATAAGGTTTTGATAAGTCACATTTAGATAAGTTATTTTATAATAAATTTTTGATAAGTCACGCGTTTAATGTAGACTTGAAAAGAAATTTTTAAGCTCGAATAGATTTTTTTAAGATTTTGTATTTTTATATTGTATATTTTTTTGGTATTTATTTTTGTATTGTATTTTTTATTTTGTTTATGTTGACTCGAAAAGAAATTTTCAGCTTGTAAAAAATTTTTAAAGATTTTGTATTTTTATATTGCTTTTTTTAAAATATATATTTATTTTTGATTTTAACATTTATATTTATTTATTTATTTTTTTTTATTGCTGCTTCCAGTTGACTTTTTTGGCGGAATTTAAATTCAAAAATCAAATCTGTTTTTCGATATTATTAACAATATTTAAGATTAAAAATCAAAATGAATTTTTTAGTTAATAAATAATAACAGTAAATTTCGATAGGAAATGAGCGAATAGCTTTATAGTGTTTTTTTCTGACAATGTTTCATATTGTGTTTTACGTCTTAAAAAATTCGATTTTTAGCATTTGATCTAATATAGTTATGAAAATAATTAAACTTGTAACGTTGCAATTTTTTTACGACGTCGCTAACTAGATGTTGCTTTGTAGCTATCAATATAACTACGATATACAATTTTTAAGGGCCACTCCATACAAGCAAAAAATTCGCTTGTATGCAGTGGCCCCTAAATTTTGTGGTAGCAGTTTTTTGTGTGAGGCATCATTCAGCACCCTCACTTGTATAATGTCTCCTCGTTGATTTATGATACATACAGGGAAAACCTTGTGATTTTGACTTATGAGCATCAGATGACAAAAGCATTAGATAAAGTTGTTTTGATGAAACGGTTTTCTCATAAAACACCGAAAATTGTTTTATTGTAATAAATACATTCTTGAATAGGTTTTTTTTTTGGCTATTATAAAGAGTCAGGGAAATTAGCTCACAAAGAAAGTCTTCAGACCCCTTCAATGCCTTTCTTCTGGCTACGGAGCTGGTCATACGTAAAGTTTTTTTTTCCAATAAATATTTTAACAGAAAAAGCTTATATTTTAGCTGACAATTGCAAATTGCATGAAACTAGTAAAAATTAAGTAGACTTATTTGCAATACATATTTAATGATTGCAGTAATAGTTATTAGGAACTGTTTCTATAGTAACATTAAGTGTTTAGTTATTTATCATAATATTAACAAGTTTTGTTTAAAAATGTGTTTAAAAAGTTGTGTTTTGTTTTAAGATTAAAAAGTTTTGTTTTTATTTTAGTCTCAAAATTATTAGCTTTTATATTCATATCTTAAATAATTTGTTTAACTTGAAAGTATATATTTAATTTATAAGGAAGCTATGTTTTGGTTTTATAACAGAGTTAATAGTTGTCACAGAAATGCATTCATTTTTTCTATTGCTCAACTTGCCCCACACAATTGCTCAACTTACCCCGCTAGGATAGGTTGAGCAGCTTAATAAACTTTAGACTATATTCTCTAAAACAAATCGAAAAAAGTTTTTTTGTCTCAACCATTTTTTATCAGATCGAATTATATTTCTAATAGTGAAAAAATTATATTAATCCGATGTACCGTTCAAAAGATCTGTTAGATTTAGTAAAAATTGCCTAACTAGCCCCGCCCTACCCTACTTTAAATTTCATACTTATTCCATTCATTCCATATTTTAGAATCAGTATAAGCAATGTAGGGAGTCATAATCAATGAATAACAAAATCAAAAACAAAAAATTGGCTGAAAATTAGAAAACACAGTGTAGAGAGTTTTTTAATGTGGCTTAAGTGACAAACAAAGTTACAAAACTATAAAACATAAAGTTACAATTTTAAGTTACAAAACTATACTAAGCCAAACAATTGTTAAAACTTGTTTAATATTCACTTACTTTTCTTTTAGTCATTGCTATCTAACATTGCTTGATGTGTCTAAAAATAATAAGATGCTAATTAAACAAAAACATGCTGTAAGAATTGTAGGAAATGTGGATCGCTTCTCACACACTAAATGTCTTTTTAAAAAACTCAAAATACTTAATGTGTTTTAATTTAACCTTTATCAAACTCTTATATTTATGTTCAAAGTTGATAATAAAATGACACCCATCTTATTTAACTCATTTTTTAAAAAAATAAATTGTTTCTACCTTACACAATTTTCGAATAACAATTATATTTAACCATATACAAATTATTCTGCTTCTAAGTTTTCGATTTACGGCCGCCGAGAGCTGTCACGCCGCCTGGGGCAGCAATCCTGATTGGCGCCCTATACTATATATGAAAGACCTTTTTTTTTTTTTAGGTACCTACATTTCATTTAGCGCCCCTTGGATATCTGCCGCCCGGGACACGCTGTCCTTCGCGACCCCCCTCCCTCCTCTCGGCGGCACTGTCTCGATCACAATCAGAGGACCTAAAATTATGTAACACACTAATAAACAGTCAGTTAAAAATTATTTCTTAATCAATTTAAAAATAAACTTAAACAAAAACTTTTGATAATTGATAACGAATGCTAGGCGAATAATATATATTTTTTAAATCGTTTTTTAAATACAAAACCTCTATTTAAAGATATGAATGTATTAAACGTTTATGAACTTAACTAGTATAATATTTTATGTTTTACATTTTGTTGTATGAATAACCCTTTATTTCAAGTTTTTAAAGATCTGTTTACCTTTAAAGTAAAGAATAAATATAGTTTGCGAAATAATAACTATTTAAAAGAACCCTTTTATCAAACAAAATTTAATCAATTTTATATAGCACCTTATCTCTGGAATAAAATTGTGCAGCCTAATTTAGATTCATTATCTTTTTCTGTTTTTAAAAACAAGTTAAGGAATATTATTTTTTCAACGGATAATATATTGAAATATTTAACCATAGAGATAATATTTAAACCATTTCTTATATCAAATGTTTTGAATTCTTATTTTGTTATAAACTACCTGTATTATTTTATGTGATATTTATATTGTAATTTTTATATGGTTCTGGCGACAAAATCGATATGATCTTCCAGATTCCAAGTTTATATGTTTATATTACATGTAAACCACGACATGAAAATAATGTAAACTGAAAAAAAAAAAAAAAAAACTAGACTTCTTCTAAAACTTTTAAACAGGAGTAATCACTTGATGTTTTTTTTATTTATTTTTTTACTTCATTCTTGATCATATTTATTTTTTATCTCAATCTGAATCTTTATAAATCTGAAATATAAATAATTGTAATAACAATACGTTTTATAAAATGTGGATTTAGAAATGTGTAAAGAAGTGAGTACCTATATATTTCTTGTATATTATATTCAATTTTTATATTATAATTTTGTGTTTTATATAGAGTTTCTAAAAAAATTATTCTATATGAAGTATACATTATAATATATAAATATTATTCATAATACTAGCTGCAAACACCCCTTCATTTGTTGTTTATTTATTTATCTCCTTTTTATTTATTTATCTCCTTTTTATTCATTTATTGAAATTTGAAATCTTAATGAATAAAAATTAAAAGTAATAATAATAATAATAAAGTCTTTTTATATTTGTATTTATATATGTATTTTTTGCATATATTACCTAGTAATGTAACGAAAAAATGTAATCTAACGACGTAACATAATTTTTTATTTATATTTATATAATTTAAAGGGACTTAAAATATAAATATAAATAAAAAATTATGTTACGTCGGGGCGATAAAGACTGAGTTTGTCTTCTTCTTGCCCCAGCCGCATAATTAAATTTTATGATAAATAATTTTGAAAATTTTTCTTTGTGGTGAAAAGCATAGTAATAATAAGCAAAAGACTTGTTAATCACCGGTGTCAAAAAAGATAAGAGAAACTTATTCTTGTGCCTGCATTTTGAAATCAACTCATTTCTTTTATTTAGTAAGTTTCACCTTTGGTTGTTAAAATGAGAAATTTTTCATATAAGAAGGGTTGTCTGGATTGTAACGTTTCACAATTTTCCAACTAAATGATGGTGTAAATTATTTGTTTTTTAAGTCCAAAATTTCTTTAGACAGTTCAGCAGCACATCTGTATTTAACAATGTTAAAAGATTTTAGGTGATTAACATACCGAGATTTGTTTGGAGTTTTCTTACAACATTAGAAAGATTAGTTGTATAAGATTATGTTTCATTTGTGATTTCTAATTACAAACAAAAGAAAAACGGTCCTGTTTTTTATTTAAATGGTAAGGATATTTGTAATTAAAATTATATCTCGAAATAAGGTTTTAACATTACATGGATATTTACAACATTACAAGTACTAATATAACGTGAATGCCTGAAGATACAACTTGGTATCAGGACCGTACCGAATAGGTCTTTCATATATATATATAAGTGTTAAAATTGATTTTGTCAAAACAACAAATGTTTGACTCAGATCGAGGCCTTAATACATATATATATATATATATATATATATATATATATAATATATATATATATATATATATATATATATATATATATATATATATATATATATATATGTTTATATACATATATATATATATATATATATATATATATATATATATATATATATACATATATAAATACATATATATATATTTATATATATATATATATATATATTTATATATATATATATATATATATATATATATAAATATATATATACATATAAATATATATATATATTTTTTATATATATATAAGTATATATATTGTATATATATATATATATATATACATATATATATATATATATACATATATATATATATATATATGTATATATTATATATATATATATATATATATGTATATATATTATATATATATATATATATATATATATATACATATTTATATATATATATATATATATATATGTATATATATATATATATATATATATATATATATATATATTATATATATGTATATATATATATATTATATATATATATATATTATATATATATATATATATATATATATATATATATATATATA